ACTGTGATGGCATAACTAAAAATAAAAGTGGCTGTTTTTATTTCAAGTAGAATTAAATGCAGGATCAGTGAAATTATTTGAACTTTGTCGGTTTCCTCATTAACATTTTGTATCACTTTTTAAATGTATAACACATGAGTACAACACTATTGTGGAATTTGAGGTTACAAGCTGTGTTTCACTCCTGAATTGAAATGTTTATTGAAAATGGAAGATTATGGCCTTTGTGCCTCTTATACATTGGGAAAAGAAGGTTTGGTAGAGAGCAAGAGTCAAACAATATACATCGTAGATGCATCTGAACTCAAGGTAAATGCACTGCAGTTCTAGTGAGGTGCTGTTTCTCAAGTAGACATCACAAGAGCTGCAGTATGGGGCGCCGTTTATAAAAATAGCACTTACACTAGTTTTCTCACATTTAGCTAAATGTGACAAAGTCTAAATGTAAATGTTAAATATTTAATGTAAATGTCTCGCCAAGTGTAAAACTGAATATTTAGTAGCTCCACAGCCTTGGCCTATTACAGCGCAGCACACAGCCCCGCCCATGATGCTGAACTCGAATCAGTGATGCTGACTCAACGACCTCAAACTTAGTCAGGTGTGGGCGGGGCTAAGATGTGTGCCACTGTGAACACGCTAATTATATGAATGTGTTTCAAGCTTTCAGTGAATTTGCGTTTGAAGTGGATATTTAATGAACAGTCTGGTGCTCTTACGCTGGTATGAGCCACCTATAAGTCGTTTCCATATTCATGTGCATAACATAACGGCGCATTACATTCACCAAAGGGAAAAAGGAGGATCTTAATGCAGGAGCACTGTAGAACCTGCCTGAAAATCAGGTTTTAACAAATTCTTTAGCCTTTGTGAGGCAGCACTGCAGCTCATCTGCTGAGATCTGTCCATCCTGTCCCAGTTCAGAAAACAACAGAAGAGAAATGCACAGTGTCAGCGTACAGTCAGATAACAATCAGCTGTTGCACTAAGAACGTGCAGGAAGCTTTGCCCATTCTGTCTCTAGAGTCATGTTAGTTTCCTCACTAATGTAAAGTAGATGTGTAAGAACTTCATAGTTTTGGTCAGGATGTACAGGTGCATCTCAATAAATTAGAATATTGTGGAAAAGTCGATTTATTTCAGTAATTCAACTCAAATAGTGAAACTCGTGTATTATATAAATTCAGGGCTTGTTCAATCTGTCTGACTTCATGTTCATCATTGACCTCCCCAGTGCCTCCCTCTGTGATGTAGAGCTCTGTGTAGATCTCATTCAGGAGGGTTGGGGTTCCTGCTTTAGGAATCCCCTCAAACACTGACTCAAACTTATTCTTCAGGTTCAATTTTAGTTTAGGTTGGCACGCTGCAGCAAGACTTTCTACAAAAAAAAGTTTCATATTTTATTATATTATATAAGATTGTACAATTCTGTCCAAATGTCTCTCCTTTAAAGCTATAATAATAATTTTTGACCAGTAGAGGAAACAACAAATCAACGGACCAAGCTGGTAGATACAAACCCACACATATCACATGGTTAGCATGTTAGGCAGTGACTGCTTTTGTACACATCCAGCACAGAGCAAAATTAGAAATGATTTGGAGTTGTGTTTCTGTCTAGCTGCTGATACAGAGTCTCTCTTCCTGAGAAAAGAGTTCCTACAAAGATACTGCTCTGCTTACTACAAGCTACTGTTCAACTAGTTGCCCCCAGTTTGACTGGGAAGGTTTATTTATACGCCTTCAGGATAAAGATGTCATCAAAAAAATAAAGGTTTGACAAACAAATCTATTACATTAAATGATTTAGTCACAGGAGTTTGATGTCCACCCAGGTTTTGCAGATACTC